CTCACCCACTTGGCCAATGTATTCCCTGAGGGTTGAGGCTGCTAACAGAGAAAAATGGTGACATATCATGCCAGACTCATAGCTGTTGGGGGTAGGGAAGAGAGAGGAAGAAAGATCCTCACTTGAATTCCTTGTGTTTTTGAAAAGACTGTTACATTGATTATGCCAAGTGCCACTCCCTCCCCCCCATTGCCTTTTTTCTTTTGAAACAGGGTCTTGCTCTATCACCCAGGCAGGAGTATAGTGGCATGATCCGGGCTCACTGCAACCTCCACCTCTCAAGTTCATGAGATTTTCCCATCTCAGCCCCTCAACTAGCTGGAACTACAGGTGTGCACCACCATGCTTGGCTAACTTTTTAAATTTTTTGTAGAGATGAGTTCTCACTATATTGCCCCGGATGGTCTCAAACTCCTGGACTCATGTGATCCTCCTTCCTCAGCCTCCCAAAATGCTGGGATGACATGCACGAGCCACTGTGCCCAGCCCTCAAATTTCTAAACAGCGACTAAACTGCACATCAGGACCCGTGGTATCAGAGAGGCTTTTTCATGCTTACATTTCCATTTTAGTAAAATGTGGATGGTTTGTGGAGTACAAGGGAAAGAATAGCTAAAAACAGGAGTGTCCCAGGAAGTCAAGGTACTATGATCACCATGCTGAGTATCTTCTCCCCTCACCCCGCCTCCTCCACTCCCAGAAATCTCACGTTCTCCACAGCAGGAGCACTGACCTTATCTCATCAATAGCGATGGCAAACCTCACCCTGGCATTCCCCAAAAGATGATAAAAACCACATTGGATGCAAGCATTGGTATCTAACACTCCCAAACACATCCAATCCTCCCCCCAGGGCTCTCTTCCTTTCCTCCAGGCTTAATTGCGATACTTTCACTAAATTGATTGCAGAGTAAATTTCTCCCGTTTAATTTATTAAGCCATTCAGAGACATAATGACCTATTTGGGAGTTGCGTCTTTCCTGTGGAGTTCCTAGACTATGAACTTCGCTGGCAAGAGTGAACCAGGCTGCCCCTCCCCATGGAAAGGGCTGGACACTGGCCTGGCCCTTTGTCCTGTTCCTTTTCTTAATTTCCTGCCACCTATTGTCTCTCTGATAACTGCTGACAGAGGGAAGGGTGCCATTTAATTGCTTTAAAGATATCAAACAAGCCAGTTGGAAGGTTATCTCCGCCCCAACCCCTCTATTTTTCTGGCTCAAGGTTTTGCTACTTAGTTACTAATCAAGCTGCAGAGGAAGAAGAGGCAGCCCCATGTGGATTACAGCTCAGACTTCATTCAGCAGATGGAAGGGAAAGTCAAAATAGCCTGGGTGAGTCCAAGCGGAATAGGAACTTGAGGTTGGCCTCTGAGTGCAGGTGGCAGCCCAGGCAGCTCTTTGGAGGCCTTCAAAAGTGGGGAGGGAAGAGGGGAGGAGGCATACATTATCTGGACAAAATCAACAATCATCCTAGATGACACATTTCTGCTGTCAAGGTCAATGTTGTTCAGAGCCCACTCAGCCAGCTGCCCTAAGACAGGTGTGCCTAACGTGGGTGGATCAGTACTTTCTCCAGGCTGGGCTTGCCCTATCTGATAAGGTGGGGAAGAATTGACAAATAAAGTGCATGAGGGGGATGTTGTTTTATTTGCTCATCCACATTAAAGACCATACCGGGTGGTACATGGTGGTGGCTCACTCCTGTAATCCCAGGATATTGGGATTATTCAGCCTATTCAGGATTCCGAGGTGGGCGGATCAATTTAGGTCAGGAGTTCAAGACCAGCCTGGCCAAGATGGTGCAACCCCATCTCTACCAAAATTATAAAAATGAGCCAGTCATGGTGGCACCTGCCTGTGTTCCCAGCTACTCGGGAGGCTGAGGCAGGAGAATCTCTTGAACCCTGGAGGCAGAGGTTGCAGTGAGCCGAGATCACGCCACTGCACTCCAGCCTGGACAACAAGAGTGAAACTCCATCTCAAATAAATAAATAAATAAATAAATAAATAATGTAAATAGAGAGGCCAGGCACGGTGGCTCAGGCCTGTAATCCCAGCACTTTAGGAGGCTGAGGCAGGTGAATCACCTGAGGTCAGGAGTTCGAGACCAGCCTGGCCAGCATGGCAAAACCCTGTCTCTACTAAAAATAGAAACATTAACCAGGTGTGGTGGCGGGCACCTGTCATCCCAGCTACTCCAGAGGCTGTGGCAGGAGGATCGCTTGAACCTGGGAGGCGGAGGTTGCAGTAAGCTGAGATTGCACCATTGCACTCCAGCGTGGGCAACAAGAGCAAAACTCTATCTCAAAAAAAAAAAAAGAAAGAAAGAAAAAAAAAGGAAAGGAAAGGAAAGAAAGAGGAAGGAAGAAAAGAAAAGAAAGAACAGAACTTCTTTAAACATGGCATACTTAGTTATGGGTCTCCTCCCCACACAGAAAAACTCCCTGGACATCAATGACTTCATCCACTCTGACTGGTAAACAGTCAGCATTTTCCAACACCCTGGCTCTTCACCTCAGAAGAGTTAGCTTTCCACCACACCAGCAAAGACCCTCAGGACACACGAGACATACTCCCAGCTGAGCATCTACCCCGAGGTAAGCAGCTGCTTGGGCCGCTGGGCCGTTCTTGCCCTACTCCCTCCTGTGGTGCCCACACTGAGCCCTGCAACGATGGTAGAAGGTGGTCTTTGGCTCGTCTGCAGAGCAGGTCTGAGGCTACATGCAGTAAGCATAAGGAAGTTCTCCTCTGGGACATGGCTCTGCGGTAGAGTCAGCATCCTCCCAGGCAGCTGCTCCCCCAAGCCTATCAGCCACCTCTTTCAGCTTTGAGTACTTCCAATTTGTTACCTTGGGGGTGATGTTGTGCACACAGGGGCACATGTTGCAGACGAAGCGGCAGCAGTGCTGTGCCTCCACCATGATCAGCCCATTCCCACAGCCAGGGTAGAACAGCAGCAGCATCTTGGACTCTGCTGGCTCCAGTTATTTAGTTATTTATTTGTTTATTTTAATAAAACATAAACTTGCTGGGTGCGGTGGCTCACGTCTGTAATCCCAGCACTTTGGGAGGCAGAGGCGGGCGGATCACAAGGTCAGGAGTTCGAGACCAGTCTGGCCAACATAGTGAAACCATATCTCTACAAAAAATACAGAAAATTAGCCAGGTGTGGTGGTGTGTGCCTGTAGTCCCAGCTACTCGGGAGGCTGAGGCAGGAAACTTGCATGAACCTGGGAGGTGGAGGTTGCAGTGAGCCGAGATCTTGCCATTGTACTCCAGCCTGGGTGACAGTGTGAGACTCTGTCTCAAAAAAAAAAAAAAAAAGAAAGAAAGAAAGAAAAGAGAGGAAGGAAGGAAGGAGAAAGAACGAATGAATGAACAAACATAAATTTGGTATTAACCGTTTGAGAACTTTTATAAGATAACATGGTACAAAGGAAAGGAATTTGAGGGCAGAGTGGGCACTTCCTGGCTCTTCCTTCTTTTCCTCGAAACCAGTCAGGTTACTGGTTTTAAACTGGAGGTGTCAACAGGCATTGTGGCAACTGTGTGACCAGAAGATGTGAGGTCCCCTGAGCACAATTCCACGATTAGCCCTCCTGATACTGCTAATACCTCTCTGCTTCTCCTTCTTCCCACTAGCGGTGAGCAGAAACACAGCCTCTTCTAGTGAGCTATGACCCCACCCCTTCTACCTTGCATGCACATGTCTAAAAGAGATGCTAGCTCCCAGACTGACTGCTGGACTTAAGGCAATTGTAGCTCAATCTCGCCCTGAGCTCCAGGATGCCAAGATTTAAGACCTATCATGTCCGACGTCTCAGAAAGAGATGGAAGTCCCTGATCCCCCTCTTACAGTGGGTACCCCAAGATACAGTTTGGCCCATATAGAAGGGAGCAGCTGGCTGCTGCTGTACCTGGTGGTTCCTTTCCCATGTCACACTCGTCTATCTCTAGAGCTCATCCCACCTGCTACACAGCTTCTGGACTTTTACTTTTCCCTGGTGAATTGGAAATCAAATAATTGGATGGGCAGATCAAGGCAGCTCAGCTCACAGAGAAAGCTAGTCGGGCTTTGCTTTCTGTTTTCCCATCCTCTAAAACTGTACTGAGGATGATGATGATGATGATGATGATGATGTGTGTGTGTGTGTGTGTGTGTGTGTGTGTGTGTGTGTGTGTGTACACATGTACTTGGAGGAGGCTGAGGAAGGGGAGGCTGCAGCATTATGACTTATTAAACTATTGGAAAAGAGGCTGAATCACCACAGTCAAAAATAAATGCTGCAACTCCATGTACCTAACTCCCACTTCTTGCTCCTTCCCCTTTGCTCCCTCATAGCCTGTAGGAGGGACTATATGGTGCTGGGTCAGACCCGCAGGTCAGGTGCTCACAGACGTGGGTTCAGCAAGGGAACCACCTGTATGGCCACTGCACCTCCGAGCTGTGGGATGCAGGGACAGTTGGGACCAGTCGGCCTCCACTGAGCCTCCGATGGCTCCTAGGACTGAATCTTGGGCTCCAGGTGCGGGCGTACACGCCTTGCGCTCACTGGGAACTGCACAGAGAAGCGGTGTCTCCTGAGCCCTTTTTCCCCCTACCCTTAGCCTCGCCCTGCGCCCTGCGCCCGGGGCTGGCCCACGGTAAACACAGCTTTGCTAACTTGTTTGGCTAAGAAAATCACCGAGGTCCCCGGTGTAAGTCTGGGTCACCCCGGCCGCCACTCCAGCTGCCTGGAATATGCTGGGTGGAAGGAAATCGATTCTGTGAAATAAGAGGGAAAATAGCGCTTGTCCTTGCCATGAGTCCTGGGGAGACCGAAAACGCTTAACCTTTCACGCCCCCGCATGTGTGTCCCCTCTCTCTCCGCTCCCCGGCTGCCTGTAAGCTCTGCCCGCGACCACGCGCAGGATTTTCAGCCAGTATCACCCCTGTCCTTCTACAGGACCAGGGAAGAGGGCGGGGCGGAGCGAAGCCGCTGTGACGTGGCGGGAGGGGGGCGTGGGGAAATGTGCCGAGGGGCCCGGGCTGGCTGGGCCAGTCCAAGCGACGCAGCCACCCATGCGCTCGTGCTCGCAAGGCCACCCGCGCCCAGAACCCCAGTCCGCGGCTTGGTGCCGGGTGTATGCGGGTAAGGAGAGCTCTCTCCCAGCGAAGGGCTAGCGGGAGCCGGCTCAAGAGGGTCGAGGAGCCGGGAACCCCAAACGTCGGGCGCCAGGCGCTAGCCAAGCTGCTGCGCGCCGGGGCGCCCAGCTGGCTCGGGGACAGCCGCTGGGTGCCGGAGACCGGAGCTAGCGGATTGCAGCGGAAAAGCCAAGGCGAGGTGAGTGTGCGTGAGTGTGTGTGTGTCAGAGATGGAGGGAGCGGGAAGCGCACCTGGGCACCTGGGTGCATCTGCGCTGATGGCGGAGTGCCCAGCCGAGGGCCTGAGCATAGGTCCCGGTGTGTGATTCTCCGCCCTTGAGCTTTTTGGGGTGATTATAGCAGGAACGAACGACAGCGGGTGACCCTGCCTGAGTAGGGGGCTGTGAGTAGAGCGTGCTGGCACGGACGTGTCCTCGAAGCCTCATGCCCGTGTGCGTGGCGCGTGCCCTTTAGCCAGAGACCTCAGGTTAAGCTGCGACGGGGGACAACTTCTCTCAGCCCCCTGCTAAAGAGATCCTGCGCGAGGGGAGCGAGGCCGTGAAGGGATGTTTTGGGTGCTAGTCTGGGGCTCCTGCGGGAGCGCACCCGGAGATCCGAGCCTGCCAGAGAGGCAGGCGGCCGGCGCTGAGCGGAGAAAAGAGGGGCTTCCCTCCTGATCTTCCCCGCCCGGCCAGATGGTTCCCAGACGCCGAACGATCTAGGATCCGCTCCCGTCCTCCACCTCGGGACAGAAAGAACAGTTTGTCAAGGTTTGGGGAGACCAAACCTCTGCATAGCCCGTGCCGAAAGCCGCTGGCCAAGTCCCCAAGCGACTGTCGTCCGCGCCCCGAAGTCTGTCCTCAGCTCCCCGCCACACACCCGGTACTCCCTGCTCTGCGTTTAGAGACCGGGTGTGCTAGCGCTACAATCTCCACTCTTCCCTTGTCTTTCTGGAAATGGCACGGAGTTCTTCGGGAAACCCTTGCTCTGAGGATCAGCGAGTTGGATGGCCAGGAGGAGGACTTTCTGTGCCAGCCGGGAGCACCGGCTCTGCAGTCCTGACATTCGCTTCTCTATTTCCCAACCCCGTAGGCCAGCACAGCCCTGGCTTTTCCCCCGGCGGTCACTCGCCGTGAAGGCCCACAGGGGCTTTTGTCACTCTGCCAGTGGGAGCTCTTGCTCCAGCCCTGCAGAGACCAAGCTGGGTTGTGCAGGCCCGAGGGAGGCGGGGGTGGGAACTGAATGCGGGAAAGATGACGGGGAGAGGAGAAACGGACCCTGAGTGGGATTTAGGACCTCCCCTGATGCCTGGTCCCCATCCCAACACTCATTTCTTGGGCTGGTACCCACAGCCCCTATGTAAAAGAAGGGTGGAAGGTGGGGTGGAAGGCGGGGTGTGTGAGATTATTCTCACCCTCCTCTCCACAGAGCCTGGACTTGGTTCAGAGGAAACCAACTCCTAGCCATTTCCAGCATCTAACAATTCTTGGGCTGGAAATACAAAGAATGCAGAAAACCAAACTTCCTTGTCCATTTAATTTAACCACAATTCAACAAGCATTGGCTGCCTGGCATTGGAATATTCGTTCTCTGGAACAAAAATGAAACAGAAGTCTCTGGAAGACATTAGGCAGCTGACTTCCTTGTTAAATAAGACTCCCCATGATTGAAGCTCATTTCTTGCTTAGAGGAGCCTTCCCACTCTCAACTGGCTCCCAGCCTCCCACCTCCACCACCTTCACCAAGACTCTGAACACTGTCTGTTGCTACTATTAAGTGATTCTGTCCTGTCGATTGAAACTCCAGTTGAGATGACCGAGTTAGGGCTGGAAGGCAACACTCAACCCTCCTTCATACTCCCTGCACCATCATCCTTCCTAGCCCAAGAGCTCTTAGACAGGGCCTCTCCCCGCCCCAGGGGCTTCTGTGTTACCCAGACATTGAAGTGTGACCATTTGTGTTATATAAATGGGCTCCTGGAAATCCCCATGATTAATGTACACTCTAATTGCAGGCAGCTTGAATAGGATTCTGGCTCTGTAGAATTAAACTGACAAGATGGTTAGAAATGATCGTGAAACTACCCAAGTTAATCCAGGGATACCAACCACAGTTTCTGTACAGCTTCTGCTTTAATTGCTGCCCGTATATGCTTTTTTACCCAATACAGACATGAAATTCCAGGTCCCCAAAATACTTCACAAAATGTTCAGCCACAAAGCCCAGATCTCACTTCACAGACAGTTGTGTGGTAGGGAAGTGAGCACGAAAGGCACAAGCAATGCACCTGGCAGTTCAGAATGAATCAGAGGCAAAGGTGAGCAAGGATCCTCAAGTGCTTGTTGCCGGCTAAGTCTCCTTTAACTCAACTGCAGTCTTTCCAAGGATTAAGAAGCAATCTTCCATCCACACCCAGGCACCAGGAAAAGTACCTAGCTCAGGGGAAATGTGTCAGCCAAGGGATTATTCCCACTCTGCTGAACACACCACCCTTTGGACAGCTCACCTCTTTCCAGATTGACCTCTTTGCTGTCCTCCTTCTTCATTTTCCATACACCCAAGACCCAGCTCAAATATTTCTCTTTGGAAGCCTCCTCTAAATCCCCCAGGAAAGGAAGGCATCCTTAAGTCCTTCATTTATCTCTCATGCAATTCCCACCCTATATGAGTTGGCTTCCTTGCCTGTCTCCCCTTTTAAATTTTCACCTTCTAGAGGGCACTAGCCACGTTTGTTCATCCCTACATCCCTGCTGTCAGCACAGAGAAGCCTCCTCCCCGTTCCCCATGATAGTTTTTGAATGGCTGTATATCAATCACTTAATTATGGGATGAGCTATTGTTTTAAGCCAAGCCAGTAGTGTTCCAATTATTTCTCTCAGTAAGGAAGTAACACAGGAGTCAGTTGCTTTAAACCAAAGCCCAGTTATCAGCTGTTCAGTCTCTAGACCACTGGGGAGCAGAGGGGATGCCTTGAGACGTGCAAAAGATGGGGCCAGGTGGCCTGTGTTCACATCCCAGATCCACCAATTATGCACAAGAGAATGGGAGTGAACTCTTTAAACTCTCTAAGCCTCAGTTTACACATCTCTAAAATGGGCGTAATTATCCCTACCACCTAGGACAGTCGGGAAGATCAAGTGAATAGTGGGTGTGAATGAACTATACTAGTGCTGGAAGCCTTCTGCTTACTTCTATGTATGAGCTTGCGTCCCACACCTGCTTCCCATTTTTGTCCTTAATTAGAAAATGGCAGACAAATTCTCTGGGGTGTTACAGCACTTGGGAGCAGCGTCCCCTTAGGGACGCTGGGCAAGAGTCCTTGAGGAAGTCAAGCATTAGGTGGTATTGGAAAACAAAAATAGAAAAACAAAAAATAAATCGAAGCTTACATTTCAAAAATGAAAGCAAACCAGCCTTTTATCTTTAATACCGAAGACTATAAATTGGTTCACCACGTAGGAAGATTTCAGTAAATCAGAGATAATGAGATGGTAGAGGAAAACACGGGGGGGAACAACATGTACAAGGTTCCCATTACGAGCCCAATGCAATGCTAGGCATTTTCACATACATTCCATCATTTAACCTTCATGACACCCCCATGTGAACAAATAAGAGTCAGAACCATTAAGGACCAGACATGCGGTCACATGGGCTCAGCAGTGGAACCCGGGTTTGTTCTACCTCTAGAGTCTGGGTTTTTTCCGCTATGGTGTTTTCAGAACGGAAAGACTCCAAGGCAGTTAGCAAGTCAGCATGGATTTCCTGGTAGGGAAGAGGCCAGGAATGTCAGTGTCAGACCCTTCTGAGGTCAGGGGCTGAACTTCTTTCTCCAAGCTCTGCCTTTCTGCAGTTTAGATCAGTCAGCTTCTTAAGGGTCAAAGTATGTGCTTTTGAAGCCACAGCCCTCCCCAACATGTGCGTCAGCAGATGACGGCTCGACCCAAACCCTTCCCTACTATTGGAAAAACAACTCGAAAAAGTCTGCACACTGATGAGGAATGCTAGAGCCTAATATTGATGTAGAAAGATAATCCGTTTTTCAATTTAAGAGTATGTGTCTGAGAGGGTAAACCAGAAATGTGTAAATTTGGTGAGAGTTTAAATAGCTCATGACTGACAGGTCAATCTTCCTTTTCTCCTTCCAGATGTCACACTGGATCCCTGGCCTCCAGGGTCCATTAAGGTGAGAATAAGATCTCTGGGCTGACTGGAACTAGCGTAACACTGAAAAGTAGCCACAGACATGGCGGATGAGCAGCTCAATGGAAGCCACACATGGCTATCCATTCCATTTGACCTCAATGGCTCTGTGGGGTCAGCCAACACCTCAAACCAGACAGAGCCATACTATGACCTGACAAGCAATGCAGTCCTGACATTCATCTATTTTGTGGTCTGCATCATCGGGTTGTGTGGTAACACACTTGTCATTTACGTCATCCTCCGCTATGCCAAGATGAAGACCATCACCAACATTTACATCCTCAACCTGGCCATTGCAGATGAGCTCTTCATGCTGGGTCTGCCTTTCTTGGCTATGCAGGTGGCTCTGGTCCACTGGCCCTTTGGCAAGGCCATCTGCCGGGTGGTCATGACTGTGGATGGCATCAATCAGTTCACCAGCATCTTCTGCTTGACAGTCATGAGCATCGACCGATACCTGGCTGTGGTCCACCCCATCAAGTCGGCCAAGTGGAGAAGACCCCGGACGGCCAAGATGATCACCATGGCTGTGTGGGGAGTCTCTCTGCTGGTCATCTTGCCCATCATGATATATGCTGGGCTCCGGAGCAACCAGTGGGGGAGAAGCAGCTGCACCATCAACTGGCCAGGTGAATCTGGGGCTTGGTACACAGGGTTCATCATCTACACGTTCATCCTAGGGTTCCTGGTACCCCTCACCATCATTTGTCTTTGTTACCTGTTCATTATCATCAAGGTAAAGTCCTCTGGCATCCGAGTGGGCTCTTCCAAGAGGAAGAAGTCTGAGAAGAAGGTCACCCGAATGGTGTCCATCGTGGTGGCTGTCTTCATCTTCTGCTGGCTTCCCTTCTACATATTCAACGTTTCTTCTGTCTCCATGGCCATCAGTCCCACCCCAGCCCTTAAAGGCATGTTTGACTTTGTGGTGGTCCTCACCTACGCTAACAGCTGTGCCAACCCTATCCTATATGCCTTCTTGTCTGACAACTTCAAGAAGAGCTTCCAGAATGTCCTCTGCTTGGTCAAGGTGAGCGGCACAGATGACGGGGAGCGGAGTGACAGTAAGCAGGACAAATCCCGGCTGAATGAGACCACTGAGACCCAGAGGACCCTCCTTAATGGAGACCTCCAAACCAGTATCTGAACCGCTTGGGGGGTGGGAAAAAACCAAGCCATGCTCTGCCTGCTGGCAATAGTCTCCCTACCCGCACCCGCCTACCGCCTCCCACCCCTCACACCTGGCTTCTAGAATAGAGGATTGCTCAGCACGAGTCCAATGAGAGAACAGTGTTTGAGTCAGTTTGTCTGATTGAATGATAATGTGCTAAATTGATTACCTCCCCCTTAAAGCGAACATTGAAATACAGGTAGACAATTCAAAGTCTGGAGAAAGGGGATTGTGCCTGAGTATGAGCTTTAGAAACAAAAATAGGCTGAGGGCAGTGGCTCACACCTGTAATGCCAACACTTTGGGAGGCTGAGGCAGGTGGATCACGAGGTCAAGAGATCCAGACCATCCTGGCCAACACGGTGAAACCCTGTCTCTACTAAAAATATTAAAAAATTAGCTGGGCATGGTGGCATGCGCCTGTAGTCGCAGCTACTCGGGAGGCTGAGGCAGGAGAATCACTTGAACTCAGGAAGCGGAGGTTGCAGTGAGACGAGATCGCACCAATGCACTCCAGTCTGGTGACAGAGCGAGACTCCATCTCAAAAAACAAAACAAAAACGAAACAAACAAACAAAAAAGCATCTGTGTGTTTGTGTATTTAAAACTTAATATGTAATCTTGTGTTCTTATATTTATACTCATATATTCCTATTTATTCTCTGTATAGGCGTTATCTACGTTCTTGTGTTCACATATACAAGTAGCAAATTCAAATGTGCATAGTGTACATGGACTTTTGGCACAATGCAGAGCCTGCAGAAATGGACTTACCATGAAGCCAGTCAAGTTTCAGCTTCAGGGAGCTCTCTTGCACGGGCCTTTCCAGGGCCCAGGAGGGATCTGGGCAGTATGTTCACGTGGTCATCTGTTTTTGTAAATAATTATGGAAGTAAGATATTTTTGTATTGCTTTTCTTAAAAAGGATCCTTGTATAAGCTTCTAGCCTCACAAAACTTCCAGCCTCTGCCCCTAGGTGTTTGCTTCATTAATTTCAGGCAGGTTAGGTCAACGTAAGAAGGGAAAGAGGGAAGATATTTGAAGACCCAGAACATAAATTCATGTGTTTCCACTTCTCGGATATAATCAGAGAATTATTCATTTGCCCAAAAGGACTTAAGGGGTAGTGGTCATCCATCATTGTATTTACCAGGACAAAACCAACTTTGTTATTATAAGATTGCAAAATCTTTTCAAATTGCTTTAGTTTTTCTTAGGGAGCCATGAGCTGGGGGAAATCACTAACATGAAAGGCATAAAATGGACTATGATTCCTGTGGGGAAATAATTTTATTCTCTCCACCGTGAAAATAAGTGAATAAGAGTGAAGCAAAATTACACCTTTATGAGAAACTATAAAATTGTTTTTTATTTTGCAGGCCAGACATAGCTTCCTAATGAAAGAAAATGGAAATGTAATTCAATGACTCCTCAAAGGGGATTTTTGAGGACTTCATGCAAAACTGGGCATTAAGAAAACCACAAATGCATGACCAGGTGCAGTGGCTTATGCCTGTAATTCTAGCACTTTGAGAGGCCAAGGCAGGTGGATCACCTGAGGTCAGGAGTTCAAGACCAGCCTGGCCACCATGGTGAAACCCCATCTCTACAAAAAATATAAAAATTAGCTGGGTGTGGTGGTCCATGCCTGTAGTCCCAGCTACTCCGGAGGCTGAGGCAGGAGAATCACTTGAACCCGGGAGGTAGAGGTTGCAGTAAGCTGAGACCATGCTACTGCACTCCAGCCTGGGCAACAAGAGCAAAACTCAGTCTCAAAAAAAAAAAAAAGAGAGAGAGAGAGAGAACCACAATGCATACTAAAGACCAGAGGAGATTGTTCATAAAACAGAAGCACTCTCACCTGCCAAACAATATGTAGTGTATGGGGCCGGGGGGGGCATGGTGTGAGTGTTGGTGGGGCCCTACCACTCGGAAATACCGCTGTGCCACCTTCCCCACTGACTGTATACACAGTAAGTATCTCATCTTTAATGTCATGGACTCTCTGAGCTGCTCCTCAAGAACTATTGTAAATAGGCACTTCACACCATAAAGTGGGATTTTTTGTCCCCCAAACTGACACATACAAGCAATAAGAAAAGAGACAATGTCCATTTCATTGACTGATCAGTTTCCAGAGTATGAAGGAATATGCGCTGGGTGCCTGCAAGGATGTCATCGTCTCTGGGTTTTGTCTGAGAGCATCACTCAGCATCTCACACATAGATTTCACCATATTTTTAAATGAGCTTTCCTCTTCGGGCTCCCTAAGCAAGTACTGTTTGCCCGTCGGAATGACTAAGTTCTCCACCTGTGGGTGTCCTTCCTAATGTGCTACTTTTGTTCTGTATAATTCACACCACCTCATTCCCAAAAGTACTTCCTGTGGCTAAGAAAAATGTGTTCAATAAGATTTAGGATAGACAAATCTGCACAAAAATAAAAAGTGGTACAGTTATAAAACAAGACTATAGAGAAAGTTGTTGCAAAAATTGCATGCAGTAAAATCCCACACCATTAGTAAAAGTAAGGTCAGCTGCAAGTTCAGCGCAGGGCTTCCTAGCAGCTATGTTTAGCAAAGTGTGACTGTTTTTTGTTTTTTGAGACGGACTCTAGCTCTGTCACCCAGGCTGGTGTGCGGTGGCACGATCTCCGATCACTGCAACCTCTGCTTCCCGGGTTCAAGTGATTCTCCTGTCTGTCTCACTAGTAGCTGGGATTACAGGCACGCGCCACCACGCTTGAGACAGGGTTTCACCGTTGCTCTGGCTGGTCTCGAACTCCTGACCTGCTTTTGTGTGTGTTTGTGTGTGTGTGTGTGTGTGTGTGTGTGTGTGTGTGTGTTTAAATAAAAACAAGCAAAGATTCGGAAGAAAATGCTTTAGTCCTAACTTTACAATTATTATAACATGAGATGTTCCAGGGTCCTTGAATAAATGCTGAGTTTGACTTAGGGAAATGATTCCAAGGGACCAAGAATTGGTAGAAATAATTTCAAGGCAGAGAAGACCAATTCTACAGGCCAGGTGTGGTGGCTCACGCCTGTAATCCCAGCACTTTGGGAGGCCAAGGCGGGTGGTTTTCTTAATGTCCAGTTTTGTATGATCACCTGAGGTCAGGAGTTCAAGACCAGCCTGGCCAACATGGTGAAACCCCATCTCTACTAACAATACAAAAACTTAGTCCAGCGTGGTGGTGGCAGGCATTGCAATACCAGTTACTCGGGAGGCTGAGGCAGGAGAATGGCTTGAACCTGGGAGGTGGAGGCTGCAGTGAGCTGAGATTGCGTCATTGCACTCCAGCCTGGGCAATAAGAGCAAAACTTTGTCTTAAAAAAAAAAAAAAAAAAAAAAAAGACTAATTCTAGAGTATTCATGACCCTGTGACCAGAGAAACTGCCTGTAGGGAGGTCAGAGTCAAAGCAGCCACCTGTAACCTGAAAATGAAATGCAGACCCAGGCATCTGTGGGCCTTCCTCAGCAGGATGACCATTCTAAGACTAAATGACAGGCCTTTGAGTTTGATGCTACAGCTCCATCCAAATACGCAGTTAGGTTTCTGCCTTAGGGAAAGGTATTCTCCCCTTTTTGAAATATCTGTTTCAAAGATAAGAGAGAACATGCTAATTTAAAGGTTAACATCATTTTAATCCAAAAAATTTAGTCTCCATTCCATATTTAATGCTGAAGACAAATCTGCTGGGTGCTGGGGGGGAATAAAAAGTAATGCACCCCATTGATTTCAGAGTATCTCATCACTTGGGTTATGCATGCTGCCACTTAGCTGCCATTAACGTAGGTAGTTAAGCACTGATTAAACCTAAGTGGACTCAGTGAAGAAGATATTGGGAAAGATAATATGATATTGTGGCCTCTGCTGAATAACGTTAGCTGTGTTTCAGTAACAGAGTTGGGTAATATTGGACTGGGAGATGAAACTTTAGCAGTGCTGGGCATGGTGGCTCATGCCTGTAATCCCAGCACTTTGGGAGGTTGAGGCAGGCAGATCGCCTGAGGTCAGGAGTTCAAGACCAGCGTAACCAACATGAGGAAACCCCATCCCTACTCAGAATACAAAAATTAGCCAGGCGTGGTGGCTGTAATCCAAGCTACTTGGGAGGCTGAGGCAGGAGAATCACTTGAACGCCAGAGGCGGAGGTTGCAGTGAGCTGAGATGGCGCTACTGCACTTCAGCCTGGGTGACAGAGCAAGACTCCGTCTCAAAAAAAATTAAAATAAAAAAGAAGAAGAAGAAAAACTTCAGTGGGGTTCATACCCTAGCTTGGCAGAATCTAGAAGGCAGAAGGACACTGGAAAATAAAATGGCACACAGAGAGGAAAACGTGGGCTAGGTGATGGGGCTTCTAGACCTGGCAATGAGCTGGAATCTATTTGCTTACACAAATGTAACCTTCTCTCCATGACGGAATACAAGTGTTTCTTGCTGAAACTCGGAGCCACAGCTACCCTAAATGAGAAGCACCGTGCTAGAAAAGTGCACAGGCTGATGGCAGAAACAGGTGGGAAGCAAAGAGCTGTCAAAATACATGTTCTGGCCTGGGAGTGGTGGCTCACATCTGTAATGCCAGCATTTTGGGAGGCCGAGGCAGGGGAATCACCTGAACCCAGGAGTTTGAGACCAGCCTGGGCACTGTAGTGAGACCCTGTCTCTTTAAAAAAAAAAAAAAAAAAAAAAGAAAAGAGAAAGAAAGAGAAAAAAGATCCATGTTCCTGATCAGCTCCGAATGTGACTATTCAATGAAGAGAGTAAAATTACCGTGGAAGGCACACATGAACTTTGACCTTGCTAAAGAAAGGTGTAGCAGACATGATGCTCATCTTAGGTTACCTGTTGATTTTAAAACAACCAAAAAAAAAAAAAAAAAAACTCCATAAAAAATAAGTAAAATATAAAAACAAATTAATGTTTTATAGACCCTGGGGAAAAGAATTTTCAGCAAAGTACAAAAATCTAAAGCATTCCTTTCTTTTATTTGTAATTCTTTACTGTGGAACAGCTCAAAATATCAGTTCTGTTTTAGGCAACGGAAATGATAACTGAGCAAGGAAACGTAATTTGGATTGTTAAAATCTTGCTCTAATAAAAATTCCGTAAACAGTAAAAAAAAGAAAAGAAAGAAAGAAAGTGGCAAGAGAATCATCAAAAGTTTCCAGAGATGGTTGGGAAGATCTGATTAGTATTTCCAATATGTGTGTCATTCTAAGAATCCCAAAGCTGGCAAGCCAAGCAGTGGAACT